AAAATAAGAAACAAAATCAGCACTAGCAATGACCTGGTTTTTATGTAACACTTCCTATTAGCTTGCTTCTCTTTTTGAGAACAGGATTTAGCAGAGATATCAGCCAGTCTACTAAGACAATTAAAATTTTTATTGAGAGTAAAAAAATGTCTAATATGCCAAAATATCATTCAATAATACAATTCTGAAACTAATGTCATGAATTAGGTTCAATAAAAGAACGAGGTTTTTTTTTGTCTCCAAGTATAACGTGTTATTTCTTTCATAAGTCTTCTCAGGACTTAAAACTGCTTCTTTGAAGTATTCTTTAAAGCTTTCAGCCTCTCTTGTCATGGCTACAGTATTTGTTAATTAATTCAATGAACATTTTTGGGGTGCTGAGGTAAACAAATAGATTGACATCTGACTTTGCCATTGAAAAGTCCTCAAAAGGAAGTCTAACATGTAAATATGGAATTGTACGTAATGTGGTAGTGAAGTAGGAGGAGGGACTTGACTCTGGAGGTGGGACTTGGACACTGGACAAAATTGAGAACTAGCTAAAACAGGACCAGAGTAGAAGCCATTTTCCATAAGACACACCCACCAGTGTGCCGTGTCAGTTTACCATTGCCATGGCAACATCTGGACGTTACCATTCCTTTCCATGGCAATAATCTGACAACCAAGAAGTTACCACCCTTTTCCTAGAAAGTTCTGCATAATCTGTCCCTTAATTTGCATATAATTGAAAGTCTGTATAAATGAGTGCAGAACTGCCCCTGAGCTGCTACTTTGGACACATTGCCTATCAGATAGCCCTGTTCTGTAAGGAGCTGTGCCTCTGCTGCTGCTGCTGCCATACACTGGTGCTTCAATAAAAGTTGCAATCTAACATCACCAGCTTGCTGTTGAATTCTTGAATTCTGTCCTGGATGAAGCTAAGAACCCTTCCGGCTAAGCCCCAGTTTTGGGGCTTGCCTGCCCTACGTCAGTAAGTGACAGAGCTTACTATGTGGTCCAGGAGGGGAGTGATCAGTCTGTCTGTGATGCCGAAGGGGGATTCACTGAGAAGGAAATTCACAAAATTCACAAACGAGGCTTTGAAATGTAAATTAGAATTTGCTGGGTCAAAAATGGAGAAAGTATGACCCAGGCATAAGGAATCGAAAGTGCAAAGACAAAGAAGGAAGTTAGGAGATTGTACAAAACTAAGTATGACTTGTAAATGGCTGTGAAGTGATGGGGAGTGAGATAAGAAATGGGGGAATTGTCAGGGACTAGATGATTAAAGGGCTTTTCATGTCCAGCAAAAGAGTTTGGATTTTGACTGTTGATTCCCATTTGTTTATTGTTCATCTGTTTTTGTTTTTGCCTTGTATTCGTGATTTTGGGGACACTTCCCCTTTTAGGCACTTGTTGAAAGAAAGTGCAAGACCTTCTCCCAAGAAAAAGATGCACACATAGTTACTTTTGAATACAAACATATCCATGAACTTGGAACCCAAGTTTCAAACCACTACTAAAAGTCACTATAAGTCATTGATAATATGAGCAGAGAAACCACATAATCAAAAGTGTATTGTCAGCCAGGCACAGTGGCTCACACTTGTAATCTCAGGACTTTGCAAGGCCGAGACCACTGGATCACCTGAGGTCAGGAGTTCGAGACTAGCCTGGTCAACATGGCAAAACCCCATCTCCACTAAAAATACAAAAATTAGCTAGGTGTGGTGGGCGCCTATAATCCCAGCTACTCAGAAGGTTGAGGCAGAAGAGTTGCTTGAATCCAGGAGGCAGAGGTTATAGTGAGCCAAGATCACGCCACTGCACTCCAGCCTGGGTGACAGAGTGAGATTCTATCTCAATGACAAAAAAAAGTGTATTGTCAGCCCTGGCACGGTGGCTCACACCTATAATCCCAGCACTAGGCGGGAAGACCACCTGAGGTCTTCCTTCTCAAACAGGAGTTTGAGACCAGCCTGGCCAACATGACAATTCCCCATCTCTATTAAAAATACAAAAATTAGCCAGACTTGATATGAAACACCTGTAGTCCCAGCTACTCGGGAGGCTGAGGCATGAGTATTGCTGAATCACTTGAACATGGGAGGCTAAGGTTGCAGTGAGCTGAGATCATGCCACTGCACTCTAGCCTGGGTGACAGAGCAGACTGGCCAAAAAAAAAAAGAAAAAGTATAAGAGTGAACCTTGGAGGAATGTGGAGAATCTATTAGAACAGAAGGGATTCATGTTAGGAGAATATAGGAATTTATTTCAATATTTCAGCCAAGAGATGAAGGTCTACGATAAGGTGGCAGCAAATATTTGTTTTTAATTTGGTTCCTGCTTTGTGTTGTCAGTCTGCTTATTGGGACAGTCCTAAAAGAGTTAAATGTGTAAATGGTGTTATTACTGAAGTCATGATTTCAGATACAAGTGCAGCTTCATGAGGAAGGATGAAGCATTCCGAGGGCAGGATGGGTTTGAAGTGCCTATGGGTTAGATCACTGCAGGTACGGATCAGCAGGTCAAAAGATATGTCAAATGATTTTAAAAATATTCTGGATCACTACATAGAGGTGGTAGATTTAATAGTGTGGGAAGATGAGATCTCAGTGGTGAAAGAACATAAATTAAGGAGAGTTAGAGGCAGCAGGCTGGAAGACTGGTGGAGCTTGTTCCCTGTCTCAGGGATTTTAGCCTTAACTCTCTTGTTAACTACTGCTCTGTGTTGGAACCAGGTTTGCGAATGATCAAGCCACTGAGAGATTTCTTTCTAAGAATGAGAGCCTTCCCAGGGCTTTGATTCTGGTTAAGTGAAAGAATGGAGAAAATAGTAAATTTTAAGGAACAATTTGATGGATGTTATTAGGTCACAGACTTGACATTCATAAAGCTTATAGGCCTATCTTTTATTGCAAGGTAAGTGAGATTGGGTAAATTACTACCGGGATTAAAAGTGTGACACTGACGGTGGATAATACTTGTTACTTACCTTTCTGAACCTCAATTTCCCTGTCTGTAAAATGAAGTATACACACCTACTCAAAGAGTGAAGCAGAGAGGACAAGATAACCTATATAAGCCACCACAGCTGCTGTGCACAGAGGCTATTGAATAAGGAGTCAGGCCTGGAAACGCTGAATTACTCTTTAACTTTTCTAATAAACTTTACAGTTCTAACTAGTCAATGAATGACCTATTTTGATTCTCAGACCTGCCAGTGCTTCTACCTATCTGAAAACACAGGAATTGGAAAATCTGTTTTAGAAATACATTTTATGTTTAGCTAAATTTTTTCCCCTTTCTCTATGATCTGTAAGTATGGGGTAAAACAGTAGATAGTATTGTGGTCACTTTAGAATGTTCACTCTCTTTGGGAATTAAAATGTCATTACAATTTCTTGAACTAACTGTTTTATCCTACAGCTGAGTACAGTGACAGCTCAAATGTGGCTTCTTGGGCATGCATTCTTTTCTTGAAAACCTCTGGAATTCTAGCCAGATCATGCTAATGAGACTCACGTAGGCTCATCAAAGTCTCACTGATATCTTTTCTGTACTTGAGATAGTAAACTCTCTTTGAGAATGTTTGAGCTGGAAGGGGAGGACTTCAGAGTTCATTTAATCTGCTTCATTCTGGAGGCCACAAACTATTCAAGTTTGGTGTGCTCAAGACCTGATCACATTTTCCTCTCTATTCTTTTATCAGAGTTAAAAGAATCTCAGCTATGCACATTAATACAGAGCCCAGTTTGTAGGGAGAATTGGAAACTTGAAGTGGGGAAGGAAGATTGGGGAGCAGAATTACAGTGTGTTATATAGTACTGCAGCCCCTCGGGGGAGCTGTAATTAATGTATGCAAGGAAAACACTGCAAGGAAACTAATTTAAAGAACATACTGAAATAATTTTCTCCTGGCTTTTCAAAATAAATAAAGAAAAAAAGAAATCACCATCAAGTTTTGAGGAAGCACGAATTCCAGCAGAAAGGAAATTTGTTGAGAGCCTGAGAAGGGGCTGCTAATAATAGCTGGTTAGAATGTAAAGCCTCTTTTTAACTTAGGCTTCCTCCACCATTTGTCAGAACTCTGTGGTCCCTGATCCATTTATTAAGCATTTCACATGCGTGTCACTCTCACTATGGGTGAGAGTTTTGTTACAACCCACTGACTGCTCTGTCTTTGCATCTTGGAGACTCAGTTCTTTACACCAGCTGATGTCCCACTAGCCTTTTCCTTTCTGCTCTCCTGCTTATCCCTTTTGATCCTAAGCTTGGTAGGGAACTCCAGAGTTTAGAATGCCTTGTGATGGCGTGTCACTTGATATCAATGCTGTGAATTCCCAGTGCTCCCAACTTTTTGTCTATAACCCCTAAGAATTTCATTTCTCAATCCAATTCAGTACACACATACATATGTGACTGAAAATTACAAGCTCATGAAAAACATCCTATGTGTGATATGCTTTGATACTTTTGCATCTTTTTAACTCTATTTCATTTGTCTAGG